AGAACAAGATTTCCAGAATCCAGGAGCTGCAGTACTGGGTTTTGAGCTTCTTTCTTTGAGTTTGATGCCCAAACAACACTCCCGCTTTGATTGAGAAGTACCAGATTACCTTTGCTGTTTATCATCAAAACACCAGACGTGTCATCAATCGGTTCGCACCTGTTTGCAACCCAAACAACGTTTTGAACTGGGACATTCTTGAACCAAATTCCCAAGTAACGGCTCTTGGCTGAACTTCCAGTACTGAAGAATCCAAGTTCAAAGCTTCCATCACTAGAAACCAAGGTTCTACCATCACTAAGATTAGTGGATGAGGTGATGATATCAGTTCCACATGAGAATCTAGAGAAGAAAAACAGTAAGAGGATGATAATAGTAAACTTTAAAAATCGAATATCCATTTCTTTGCAAGTTTTCACGAATAAAAAAAATGAAACGTTTATACTGGCAGTTTTAGACAAACACCAGCTTTGAATGTTAACTAGCGTGTGCAAATCCTCCAGTTTCTGACAACAGCTCTCTCTTTCTAGCAGTAAACAGTGCACTTGATGATGATAACAACTACAGTGGTGTAAAGTCTCAAAACGAATACCAGTGTTGCTGCTCCATACAATGAGTTTTCCATTGGGCGTAAACAGTACACTTGATTTCTATAGAAATTAAGATTAGCAGACCAAAAAAGTCAAAATCATTTACCAAAAAAACAAAAAAGTCAAAATCAAAAACTAAAGACTAAGACTTTAACGAGTCAAAGAACACCTCATTCCCACCTCTTTTTTTTTTTTTTTCTTTTGCCGTGTCGAATGGGTTCTTTGACGGCAGAAGCTGCAACATAGCCCCTCTACTTTAATTGTTGTAGCATGATTGCCCCTCTACTTAAAAGAAGTGCAAAATGACCCCTCTACTACTCGAATGCTACAGATCATGACATCAGAAAACATAATCTTTCTGCCTGTCTCGCTGTTACTCGATTAACAAAGAAGGAAAATAAAGATAAAAAATAGAAAATAAAAAAACATCAACCATTTTTTTTCCTTTTCTCACATGATTAAATATTTAATTTAAAATATATAAGAAAAAAAAAAAAAAAAAGAAGGAAAAAGAGAAACCCATCA